CCCCAAAACCCCAAAACCCCAAAACCCCAAAACCCCAAAACCCCTCTTGGTTAAAAAGCATATGATTTGTGATTTAAATAAATTTGCAGATATCTCCGATGATAATGATACTAGATACTAGAAATAATATTATGTAAGTGTCTACCTCATTATCACAAGAATTCATCTTTCAAATCAAAGATGAATGTTCAGTTTTTCTTGCTATAGTCATAAAATCCTCTGCCTGATTTTCTTCCAAGATACCCAGCATCAACATAATTAACCAAGAGGGGGCATGGTCTATATTTTGAGTCTCCTAGTTCAGTGTGCAATACTCTTGCGATAGCCAGAACAGTATCTAATCCAATAAAATCAGCTAGAGTAAGTGGGCCCATGGGCACGTTTGTTCCGAGTTTCATAGTCTTATCAATATCCTCAATAGTTCCAATTCCCTCATATAAAGTGAATACAGCTTCATTAATATATGGAATAAGAATTCTGTTTGCGATAAAGCCTGGAACATCCTTAGCGATAGTTGTAGTTTTCTTCATTGATTCAGCTAGTTAAAGAGTTGTCTTAAGAGTGGTCTTATCTGTTTGGAGAGCTGTGATTATTTCAATAAGTTACATAACTGGAACTGGATTCATGAAGTGCATTCCAATTACTTAGTGAGCTCTATTTGGAACGGTACCAGCAATCTTTGAAATAGAGATAGATGAGGTATTTGAAGCTAATATAGCATGTTGAGGAGTTTCTATTTCTAATTCAGCAAAGATCTTTTACTTTAAATTGAAATTCTCGTTTGCTGCCTAAAATTCAAGTTATTCTATGGAATTCAAGTAATGCTTACCTCAACTGCAAAGTCAACATCATTTAGACTGGAAATTGAGTTGTGGAATGAAATCTTGCTCAGCATAGTTTTCTTATCTTCTTCTGTCATCTTTTATTTTGAGATCTCTTTTTCACACCACTAGTTAATGAAGGCTTGACTTTTCTTCAATGATTAGTCCTAGGGATCCACAAATTTGACATTAACACCTGCTACTCTGCTAGCTACAATACCGATGCCTGTTCCCATTTGACCTGCACCAACAATTCCAATGTTTTTAACCTAGAGAAAAATTGTAAATTTGTGTACTTTGTAGATTTGCTTATAATACCGAGAAAAATCTTTTTGAGAGTTAATATCCTTTGGAGTATATCATTTAATTATCAATTATAATTGATCTCTATTAAACTTACTTAAAAGCGCTATAATCATTTAAATGGAAGCATAAGATTTGATTTAGTCATCACTAAGTCATCAAAGTATTTTAGATGCAGGGGCTAGTGAAAGTGATTAATGGTTTTATCTAGCTCTACTGCTTAGTTCTGTGTTCTTAGTAATGAGCTATCTGAACTATCAGGAATCATAGTAATAAAGAAAATATCAAAGGATGAAGTTAGATGCAAGATTAAAGGAGGAAGAAATTTTGAAATAGAATTTGAAAAAGAAGATTTCTATTGATGAAATTGATGAGTAAGTTGTTTCTGACAACAATAATAATGGTCAAGAAGAGATCCATAAGGCCGAAGGTTTTCTAAGAAGTAATTCAAGTTTTGTTGAGATGAACCAGAATAATCTGCATAGGAGAATGAAAGATGATTCCCTTGATCACTCTAAGGTTCTGTCCGATTCAAAGCATCCTATTACTAGAATCTGCCTTACAGGAGGACCTTGTGCAGGTAAAACAACTGCATTGGCAACTCTTTCAACAGTGCTATCATAACTTGGCTTTAAAGTACTTCAAGTACCAGAAGCTGCAACTCTCTTAATGAAGGGTGGAGCAATGATTGAAACAAGAAAGTTAACATTTGCTGATGCTGTTAGATTCCAAATCAATGTTATGAAGATGCAAATGTCCCTAGAGGATATTTTCATAGAAATAGCACTTAACCAAGATTAGCCTACCATTATTATATGCGATCGTGGAGTAATGGATGGCTCAGCTTATACAACTGAAAATATTTGGTAAGCAATCCTGGATGAGACTGGATGGAGTACTATTCAATTAAGAGATAGAAGATACGAAGCTGTAATCCATTTGGTAACATGCGCTGATGGAGCTTAAGAGTTTTACACTTCTGCTAATAATGAAGCTAGATATGAATCTATTGATGAGGCTATGGAACTAGATAAAAAATTGATTAATGCTTGGGTAGGGCATCCACACTTCTCAATTATAGACAACAGAGAGGCAGGCTTTTAAAACAAGATTGATAGATGCCTTGACACTGTCTTGAAATTTATCGGTTTACCCACCCCTACTTCATTCCACAAGAAATTTTTAATTATTGCTAGACCAGGAGAATATGAAGTAAATCTTCCCAGAAATGTTAAGAAAGAATTTTTCTAGATTGAAGAGACATTCTTGATGGCTACAGGAGACTAAGTAGAAAATTTCATTAGAAAAGTAGGTAAAAATGACTCCTTTAACTACAATCATGAGATTAGATTCTACTAAAATAATGAAAGAATCTTAAAAAAGCGTTAAATATCAGCCAGAGAGTTCATTGAACTATTCGAACAGCAGAGAGACCCAGCAATGAGATAATTAAAAAAGTTTAGACAATGCTTTATCTACGAACAGTAGTATTTTATGGTTGATACATTCTGCAATGTTGATGGATCTCCTTCACTTTTGCGAATTGAAACAACTAAGCAAGAAAAAGAAATCAAAATTCCTCCCTTTGTAAAAGTCCTCAAAGAAGTTACTGAGGATAATTCCTATGCTAGCAGCACTATGGCTAAGCAAAATTACAAAATGCCTGAAGCCGATAAAAAGGCTATATTTTCTGCCCTTAGTAGCTGATATCTACTTAATTATTTATTAATTATTAAGCACTTCATAATACTGGAATAGTATGAGCGGGGTTTTGGGGTTTTGGGGTTTTGGGG